CCACGGCTCAGTTGCGGCTGAGATGTTTAGGGATCACCCTGAAAGTACGTCCGCTATTCGCCGTTACGAACCTGCCACGTTCAGCCTATATGTAAGCTCACCTAGCACTTAGCAGGTAGGCAACATCTCGTCTGTAGTGCATGCATGTACCGCGGGATGGCCTACACCGAGTCCTGCAAGCGCCGAACTCCCGAATTTTGACGAATCGATCTGAGAAAAACGGACGTACTTACTGGACGATAGGAACTAAGCTAGCCACAGCTCAGTAATGCTTATCTCGGCCCACACTCAGTTACATTTGGGTTGAATCAGCGGTTTTCGCAAGTACTTATCGGTTACCTCAGCTGGAAAGGATTTAACCTCAGTTGGCCGCTCTAGACAGGGTAGGTGGCCAGCGCCGCAGGTGTCCAAAGGTAGACTGACCCGCATTCAGGTGTGCGGGCGGGTTGCCTACCGTCGCTGACCACCGCCTTATGGTCTCCGAACAGGCATCCCGCACGCATGCCCATCCTGTAACCTTCAGCTCTACCTCAGGAACATTCAGCTACCTTTCAGCTCTACCTCAGTAACACTCAGGAACACTTCAGTTAATCACAGTGAACAATCAGTAAGCATCTGCTTCATCTCTGGCACCACTGTACTGACTCAGCTGCACCTCGGCTTTCCTCACCCAACAACGCCATGCACCTGCATATCTAAATCAAAACCTACTGTTCAACTCAGCAAAAGTCAGGCACGTGCTCAGGTAAAAGTGGCTACAGTGTCATTAATCTCAGTCCGTGCCTACTAAACGTCAGCTTTCATCAGGTCGAAGCATGGCAATTCGCCTTTTTATCTCAGCTAATCTCGGCTCGCAGTTAATGTTGGGTCAGCGCCAGTTAAGTCTGCGTCCACGTCGTGTGAAGTCAGTTAAGAATGTGTCACCTCGGGTATGGTGGGCTCCAGCTCAGTCCCCGGGCAGCATTCACCTCAGCTCCAGGTCGGGTTTGAGTCAGCTATACTCAGTCTCGCCTCAGCTTTTTTTTCTCTAGGGTACCCCCCGTACTGCATGCCCTGCGGTCTGTAGCGCGGGGTATCGCCGGTCAGCTGCCTCTGGTTGTTATAGCGTACTGTGGCACCCGTTGGCGTCGCCACCTCTGCACTCTTACCCGCTCAGCTCGGAACGAGCTGGGAGCCTGGGTTCACTGCCCTTTTGGGTTTTCGGTCGGTTGTACCGAAAGTAGAGGCTTGGCCCCGGCTAGTAAGGGGACACACGTATAGGGACTGACTTGTACTTGACATGCGAGGGGGTTTTCACTTGCGTAATACTGTGTACACTATATCCCGTAATACAACGTAATACTGCGTAATACTGCGTAATACACGTAATACACGTAATACTTGTAATGCAGCGTTTTACCTCGTCAACAGGGCAAAAACTAGTGTGATATGTGTCACACGTCTCACTACAAGTGTAACCTGATTAGTGTGTCGCATAGACTGTGTAGTGTGACCGTATTTTTGGTCACGTTTGTGGTGTGACCTAAGTGTCATGTGGCAATAGCTCTGGGCTATGGTGTTCGTCTGACCGAAACGTTTGACATTCTGTAACCTAAACTGTTCACATTGACGTGACACTTGACACACTTCATTTTCCAGTGAACCACTTACATAACGGTTCTAAAATACTCTA